GTGATTGATTTAAAAGTGCTGAACTCATATTCAGAGCCCGAAATCCAGAAACCACCAGCTGGGTTGGGATTCAAAATCATATGGCTGGAGTGAGTTTCTGAGTTGTGAAGCATTAAGCAGTGGGGGCAATTGGTTTTCTCACCTATCTCACATGGGATGGAGGAAGGGAAACATTTAAGAATTAAGAAAAGAAATTTCAGGACTGTTGAGTTACTGCCTCTTGCTCTGCTAGAGGCAGAATCAGCTTAGTAGGGAAACTTTGGTGAGGAATTTAATACATCTTTTGGTGACTGTGAATTGTTCAAAAGGGAGTTGGGAGAAGACAAAAATAAATAATAGAGGAGGAAATCGTATAGACCAGTTACTTTACTAAGGCTGGATTTACTAAATATGTAGGTGTCTGAGAGTATAATGGACCTATTTAAAACAGGCAAAGCATTTTCAGGGTGTGACCAAAAGGAGTTGGTCTACTGGAAAATGTATCTTTTGAATATTCTGCAAGAAATCCTAAGCACAAACAATGGTGCTGGGAGATTAGGGCATACAATGTTAACTTACTCTTTTAATTTGTGTACCATGGTTTTTAACAGATGGATTTATCAGTGGTTTATTTCCCCACCCCCATAGGCATGCCAAGCTATTTCCTTGCATGCCATTTTAAATAAAAGTATTTTTAAAGGGGACACAATGTTAAGGGAGATGTATAAATAAGACCAGTGCTAATTACAGTGTCTAAAAAGAATTGTCTTGATCCTGTAAATTGCAGCATAACTGCTTACTCAGAGGAGAGAGTTCCATTCTGGAACTGCACCTTCCATCAAGTCACGGAGCGTAAATCTGGGCAATAAATGATCAGGAGGTACTGTACTGTGTAACTTGTACAATGTTCATAAAAGAAATTAATGAACAAATAAATATTCTCTGATGGACGAGCTGGCAAAAATATAGCTTGCAGAAATGCCTTCCTCTCTAGTTGGGGAGAATGGCACGGAAGTGACATCTCTTTGAACAGTGTGTCTGGTCTCACAGAGATTAATGCTTGGCAAGTAATCTCAGTGCCTGATCTGAAAGCCTTGACATAGGCCAAACCCCTGTGGCTGTCAGTGGGGGATCTGCCTGTGGCAAGGATGCAGGATCAAGGTAGTTTCTCACCTTCTGGTCACAAAGCCTCCAACTCACTTGAAATTCTCAGAGATCTCAGTATTGATTTGTATCCAGATAGGACTTTATGGGTCTTCATTCTGAATAGAAGTAACCCTAAAAGCTTGAAAATCTGTTTTAAAAAAAAAGAAGAATGATCATGTCAGTTGGCATATTCGGAGTTTCGGCATGATGGTCCAAAGCACTCTAAGCCGCTTTTGTTGAAATGCATACATAATGCATACCACCAGAAACACCACTCTTGGATGCCTGTATCCCTGTATCTTGGGTAGGAGTATACAGTGGCTCTGTATCTGTAACAGTCAATTCTAATTCTGTGGTGTGGTCTTTAAGGTTCTGATTCATATAACTCTATTTCCCATTCAAAATTATGTCCTGCCATTTACAAAAGGAATACAGTTGTCTCTTGGGATCCATGGACAGTGTTCCAGGACTCCGCAGATACTAAAGCTACTGATGCTGAAGTCCCTTATATAAAATGGTATGGTATTTGCATAGGACCTAAACATAACTTCTCCATAATTTAGATTGACTCTATGTCATTCATAATACCTTATATAATGTAAATCCTACAAAAATAATTGTTATATTAAGTTGTTTAAAGAATAATGACAAGAAAAATAGTCTATATGTTTTCACTACATATAGACTACATATTGTTGTTGTTTCTTTGTTTGTTCGTTTTGTACTGGGGATCGAACCTAGGGATGTTTAACCACTGAGCCACATCCCCAGCCCTTTTTATTTTATATTTTGAGACAGGGTCTCACTAAGTTGTTTAGAGCCTTGCTAAATTGCTGAGGCTAGCTTTGAACTTGCAATCTTCCTGCTTCAGCCTCCCGAGTTGATGGGATTATAGGCATGCACCACCATAATTGGCTCACTACAAATACATTTTTTAAAAATATTTTTTATTTTCTATTAGTTGAGTCCACAAAGGCACAGTCCTGCAGATCCAGAGGGCAGACTCCATTTCTACTTTTTCTTTGCTTCCTACCCTCATTCTTATTTTTTTTGTCCAAGGTTTGTGCGTACTGCTTTTCTCCTGGGCCCTTCATGCTTCTCATTACTAAGATGCGTGCCCAACCTGTCCTGCAAGAAACAAACCAAGTCTATTTCTCAATGAAACTTCCCCAACTGCTCCATCCCCATGATAATTTGTTTCCATTCTCTAAATCTTTGGTTTGAGAACTTGATGACACCCTAAATTAGTTTTCTTATAATTGTTTCACTTTTTCATTACCTTCTAAAGTAGGCCTAAGCCTTTTGAGGTCAAGGTCTATATTAGACAAGGCAATTCTGTTTTGTGTGAATATGTAAAGTAGGCATTTTAAAATAGTGTGACTTAATATATTAACAACTCCATATTTTATGTACAGAGTTTTAAGTAATGATTTTAAAATTAATTTATATTTTTAAAATATCAAAAATCTTATCATTTATAAAGATGTTATGTTTTAATCTTATAGCAGTTTTTTTTAGTTGAAACATAAAAATATTCTCCTTCATTTGTCTTTGTCATGTGAACCACATTTCTGCTGACCTGAAATAAAATTTTTGTAAGAAATTTTGACGACTGTTGTGATTTTAATTTTAATTTCTGAATTATAATCTATTAAAAGGAAATTCAATTTTTCATTTATCAGTATTCAGGCTTTAGCAGCAAAGTAATGTGATCCAACTAAATAACTTTGAATTAAAAGTTAGATTTGATAAGAAGATACTAATAAAGCCAAATAATCATCATGATATACTGTGAATCATTTAGAACAAAATCCTTTCTGAATTTCTAGTGGAAATACGATGAACAGAAAAAGCAACCTTAAAATAAACACATCTTAAAATTCTTAGAAACTGTAAAATAATCCAGCCAAAAATGATTTAAAGATGGGGACAAAAAAAATAAGTCCACCTGTTGTTGTGGCTATAAGATCAATACCTCCAATCTGCCCAAGGTTATAATGGCCATAGACGTACAATTGAATTCTGACACCCCATTCCCTGCTTTTTATGTTTATTACATTAATTATGTAAATTATGAATTTTGAACAAACACACACACCTTTCTTTTGTTGTATGTTTTCTACAGCAGAAGGTTGCCAGATAGAATGTAGAATAAATTAAAACTTACAATGTCAGATAACTTCAGTTAAATTGGAATGCCAGATAAACAACATAAAAATTGTTGGTATAGGTTTTTCCCCAAACATTACATGTGACCCACTTATGATTAAAAAAAAGAACAGTTTACTGTTTATCTGAAATTCAACTTTAACTGGGTGTCTCTATAACTCTATTTTAGAAACAGGCTGGATGATTTGTCATAATGAAAACTCCATCATGTATGTGTTTGCACGTGTGTGTAAAACCTAGTTTGGGTACTGGGGGTTGAAACTCAGGGGACTGATCATACTAGGCAAGTGCTTTGCCACTGAGCTACACCCTCAGTCCCAGTTTGGACAATAATTTTTTATGAGTCATCTGGTATAACCGTTCATCTAAGATGGGTGTCCAGTTGAAAACATCCCTCTCAGTTTATCTCTGACTTGACCCAGTGATGGAATTTAAAGTTTGGAACAAAACTGGCAAAGCTTCCTTGAACTTTGTGCCCCCGCTCAACAATAGGATATTGTCTACTGATTATTTTAGAGGGCATCTCCAAAATATTTAAAGACAACTGTATGGTTCCATCCTCTAACCCCTACTCCTATCTCTTCAATATTTTACATCTTTACACTAAGAAAAAAAAATCACCATTTCTTTAAGTTATCTCATGATTTAGTTTCTAGAGGTTTGACTAGTTCTAGTAAATTTTCTCATATCTCATTGTGATTTTTCATTTTTCTCTTTTTTGTACCAGGGATTGAACACAGGGTGCTTAACCACTGAGCCACATCCCCAGACCGTTTTTAATTCTTTTTTAATTTTGAGACAGGGTCTCACTAAGTTGCTGAGGCTGGCTTTGAACTTGTGATCCTCCTGTCTCAGCCTCCCGAGCTGCTGGGATTACAGGCATGTACCACAGTACCCTGCTCACATTGTAATTTAACACTGCAAGTCTTTAAAGAGCACAGTTGTATAAAAAATCTTTGTGTCTGTTTGTCTGCTCTCACTTTCTCCTCCGTCACCACTGAGCTTTGTAGCTCACAATTTGTAGACATACAGCCTTCCCTAGGCTTTTCATGATTCATCCAACCAGAATGCTTCTACTATTTTTCAGTGAGAGAAAAGAGTACCAGTAGGTCAAGGATGGTCACCATCCCATAGGACTTTGAATTTTATGGGAATTATGGGAATTATTAATTATGGGAATTTTATGGGAATTATGCATCATGAGCTTTTCTTTGGAACAAGGTTGGGGGCAGAAGAGATGGAAAAAGGAAGAGGTAGCCTCAGGCTCCATTCAGGTTATTTGTGGACAAATATTTCTTACCTGGAATGCATGATAATTAACTCATTCATGTCAGGGCCATATCCTAGGCAATATGGGTAATATTCTCTCTACGTATATACATGGGTAAGATCCAGCTTGGACATTTATTCTCTGTAGGGCGTGGCTGCCTGCTTCCTGGTCTTGAGGCTGTACATGTGGCTCCTGGCGATCAGCTAGGAGGTGGTGCTGTGGGCGGTGACGGAGGAGGCGGACCACCTCAGGATAGGTCCAGGACTCTTCCGCCCTCGTGGACAGCTCGTGCCTTCCCTTGGAAGGACTACGGGATGGGTGTACATGTGAACTTGCTCCACCCCTCTGACCTTTATTCTGATTGGCTCCTGTGCAGTATATCAGCTGTGTGTACTTCCTTATTAAATGAGATCCTGCTTTGACTGTTCTCCTTGGAACGTCTGATTGTCCTCCCAGGAGGGAGGGCGGGCTGAGGTGGGCGGCCAGTCGACCTTTACCTTTCTTGGCTCGTCCTGTTGGGGCATGCTTTTCCCGCTTTTCCTGCTGGTCAGGAGGAGACAGGGGCTAAAAAACCTGACAATTCTCCATGGACTGAAGTTTTGACTTGGTAAGTCAGAAGGGGTGGGGACTATCCCTTCTTTCCTCCTTACTCCACTTGATTTCCTACTAAAGCTCCTGGATCACAGTGGGTTTCCTATATTGAGGAGCAATGCCCTTTGACTATAACAACATCAACAGGTGCAATTTCTGGCTAAAATAACTGAGGGAGTGCTTTTTTTAGTGTTACTGGTGGTTTTTGTTTCCTGAACATTGCCTGAATTCTGCTTAATTCATAGCCCGTTAGAAATAAATGTTTGCTAGTGTGAGTTGTTGAACCACTCAATCTATATTTATTTATCTTGGTACAGTAGGGTGGCACTACTTGGTAACTTCAAAAGTCTCAATTCGTTCTGGATGGAGGTGGCCTTACTCATTCTGTTTTATATCATTTATGTGCTGATCCCCTCTTCTCCCAGACGTCACATTTCCCAAAGATTCTTCCAAATTCCTCATTCAAATTGAGTCAAATGGTCTTGATGCCCAGTGGAATAAACTGAGTGGTATTTCCTTTCATCCAGTCCCTTTTCTGCTGTCACTGAAGATGCTACTGGTGGTAAGAGAGAACCCTACACTGAGTTCATTTGTCTTGGTATCTTCCACTTATTCCCAACAGACACATTTTGACCACAGAAACAAATAGTGGCATTTTGTCTCCCTCTGGTATTTTATGCTTGGTAGTAAAATTCAAAGTCCTAACCATCCTTGACCTACTGGCACTCTTTTCTCTCACTACAAGATACTCATTGAATCCTGCATGCTTTCCTGTGAATTGCAGGCTTCTAACCTTTGAGCTAACAGGTCTTCTTGGTACCCCATAGCTTTCCACTGTTGCCCCATCCACTCTGGTCCAGTGAAATTTCTTTCAATTTCTTTCTTCTATAAGACTCTCTTTCTTCTATGTATAGTGGGTACTCAATAAATCCTGACTGTCCACTTTATATCTGTTATACTACTTCACTTTCTTTATTTAAAATTTCCTCAAGCACCACTTTTTGCAGACACTTCTTTGATAAAATTCCTTTCCAGAGCTATCATTATTAACATGCTTGCTCATATTTGGCAAATATGCTTAAAGTCACAATAAAGATATGAGGTGAGATGGGGTGATGAGAGAAGTAGCAGAAAATTCTCCATTAAGTGAGAACGGCACATGTCCCATTTAAATTCACATTTTGAACCATAAAAAATCTATATTTTTGCAGTTTTATGGTCTGTTCTACATGATAGCTGATTAGCAGTTACATTTTAAAAACCACCATGTCCGTGATCCACAAAGGCCTTTCTGCTTCAATAATATTAGTAAACAAAAACAAAACAAAATACAGCCCACTGACCCACATTTATCTCCTTGCTAAGCTTAAAATAGCAGGCAAAGTGGTCTAAGAATTCTTCCAGCCCTCCCCCGTCCTCTTTCCCTTTAACTGAATTGTAATTTTATCTTATTCTAAATCAATATTAGGATGAACGAAGAGTTACCTTCATGTGCAAATGCAGAGGGTCAGGATGGGGTTTGGGGGTGCTCAAAACTCCTCCCCAGTGACCAGTCCTTTCATTTCTGGAAGCAGTCTTCATATATATTTATTCTTCTGCTCCACATGGATGTTCCCCAAAACCATTCTGTGGTTCTACCCCTTTCTGTGTTTCTCCCTAAATTCTACTATGGCAGTCTGGGCACACATCCAACATCAGTAAATGAAAACCTCCTCCTATAGCCCAGCTACAGCATTGGAGACCAGCAGTTAAATGCTGTCTCTCCCGTCTCCCTCCACATCCAAATGTTAGCATATACAATATCAATAAGCTGTTCCTTTCATCTTCCCAACACTATGGAGGTGTTTATATTTGTGTGGGACATTTAAGCACTTCCAGCCAATGGCTTTTTACATGGGGGTAGGCCCCAGGCACAGAGCAGCCTCAATTGGAAACAGGAACTGAAAGTGTTCTTGGTAAAACTCAACCTCAGCCCAAATCTAGTTGTCTAGCTCAATGCCTGACCTTCTAGAAACAGGTCAGTCTCAGAATTATGGGGCAGTTTGATAAGCTGGAATATACTAATTTATTGGCCATTAAAAAAAAAGAGGAAATTTTATTATGGATTACTCTGCTTTCTTGAAAACGTTTTTTTTTTTTTTCTATAATTAAAAACATCTGGAAGGCATTTTAATATATCATAAACAAGAGGAAATCCAAATCACGTGACTTCTAAGAAAATGATGCAAATAGAATTCTTTGCCAAAATTTACTGTAATCTGTTATCTCCCCCCACCCCCCACCCTTTTTTTTTTCCTGGGGCGGGAGTTCAAGAAAGGAGGGCAAGTGAAAATATCATTGAAAATTCTGCAGAGAAAACAGTTATTTCAAAATTAGTCTACTGCTATTTTTGGCCAGTGTTAGAAGACATTACACATTGGCAGAGATTCTGAAATATATTTGGTTTCTTTTAAAAAATTAGTCATTTTACTGGTAACTTTCTTTCTGAAATGAACAAATAATTAAATAAACACAAACTAAATTAGGAGGTTGTAATAAGAAGTAGAACCAGAATGGAGACATCTTCCAGGGTGACGCTAGGTAAAGAACAGACTATTTGCTTTGTATTTCACTCTTCCTTTCTGCCCCCATCTTTTATTTGGATATTAGCATAATAAGGTTACATGCATTTCTAATAGCTATCACTCGAAATTGCTGCTGCATACAACACTTCAAAGATTTCCCAATTTGTCTTTCATCTGATAGGGAATAATCTAGCTTGTAATAGAAATGGTGTGTTTGGGGGCACTTTCTTTTAAACATTAAACTATATGTAAAGTATCATCAAGCTCAAGAATTGCATCCTCTTAAAATTGTGGGTAACACACCACATGCCCCTGCACACTCACCCCTCCATAAAATAGGCCTAGCAATAATAATGTGGCCCATGTTTACCTTATATGGCGTCCAAATCCTGGATGCACATTTAATAATTCCATGAAAATAACAATGTGCTTTTGTTTGGTGTAGAGTATATTTTAAGTATATAAATAGTTTATAAAACTCATTGCACAGCTATAAATCTATAATTATACAAAGTAGGTGAAAGAAACAGTAGCATTTTATAAAACACAGGAACCTCTTATTTTCCTGGATAAATTCCAGATTTGGTGTTGTGGGGAAAGCCAGAGTTGAAGGAAGATGACTTATGTTCAGCTGGTGGCTGACATGTTATAGCAGTGATTCCCCTGAGTTTCATGTTCCTCATTTCTAAGATAGGAAATAATATTAGCCATATTTTCTATGAATTAAATGAGATCATATTAATATATTAAAAAGCTGGCACAGATTAGGAGATAATGGGGTACTGACTGATAGTTATTGATTATTATTATTATTATTATTATTATTATTCAAATAATCCCATGAAGGACCCATTGGTGACAAGACAATTTGTGACTCATTTCTGTTTTCTTTCTGGGGGTGGCTATTCTACTTTGCCTCTTTTTGTTCAAGAACTTGATCAATGAATTGAATGACTAACTTATCCCTTCAACACATTTTACTACCTGGGGGTGGTGGATTCTGACCCTTTTCCTTGAGACCCCAATGTAGACATTAGGGCCTAAAGGAGAACAATTAAGTATCCATTTAGTGATAGACATTGTGAGAGATATTGATATGAAATGGGTAAGACAGCTTCCTGCTCTGCTTGAGGAGCTCAAAGAACATTTGTCTTTTCCAGCTTAGGCAGAGGTCTAAACAACTGGAGGACAGAAAAGGTGGCTAATGTTGACTATGGCACTTGAGGGGTGGGTCAGAGGTCAATTTATACAGAGAGCCCTCTGAAACCACAGGTTCAACATCAGTGGATTCAATGAAACTTCGATTAAAAATATTTTTTAAAAATTTAATTTGTGCCAAACTCATTCAGACAATTTTACTGAAATTATTCTTTAAAAATACAGTATAAGAGATGTTTGCATAGTATTCAGACTATGTAAGGAATTATAAATAATATAGAGATTATTTAATGTGTATAGGAAGATGTGAATAGGTCTATGCAAATACTATGCCACTTTATATAAGGAACTTGAGCACCTGCAGATTTTGGTATTCACAGGTCCTAGAACCAATCCCCTGTGGACACCAAGGGATAATTGTATTTGGGTACAATGTGCCAGACTGAAACAAAATTAATAAAGATCAGCATTTTAGATCTTATTTACAAATATTTATATGGAAAGAAAAAACGTTTTCTATAGAAAAATGTCATAAATTATTTTAGCCAATTAGCAATTATATAAACCCTAATAGCAAATTCATATTTTCCAAATTGTGAGATCCAAGTATTTGGAGGTTGTGGGTGAGAAGCAAGGTATTCAAAGAGGATGTGTACCAAAATCAGGGAGACATGATTTCACATTTCAACTCTGTAATTTTCCAGCATGAAGTATTAAGAAAGTTATACAATCTTTTTAGCTTTGATTTTTCACTGGAAGAATAGGAAAAAACATATATAAATATACAGGGTTGTTGTGAAGATTAGTGTTAATTTATTTTAAGAATCTGGCAAATGGCAGCCCTCAATAATGCTATGAGTTATTGTTGTCCATTATTATCATCATCAACAAGAAAGTCTAAAGGCTTATTTAATTTACAAATGACTTTCCCTGAAATGAAAGTGTAACTCACATTATTTATAAATTTACACGTGTTCCTTCTGTGTTGGTATGAGTGTTTGGTCATTAGCCTTGGACATGAGCTTCTAAAATATTTTGAAAAATACCTTATTACCCTTATGTATGTTAGAAGTTTTAATTATGCAGTATTTTCCAAGAAATGTATTAAAATAAATATAGGGTTTAGCACTTTCAAAGATGACAGCCAGTGTTTCACAAACTTTATTTTAAACTAATGTAAAAAAAGGAATCATTTAAAACCCATATCTGAACTAGATGATAGTAGATTATATTTACCGCTCTTCTGACTCCTTTGTCCTTAATAGAACCACAAAACAACAGCCTGAATAATACTCAACTGCAGATTAGGTGAGCAAGAACAGACTTTTATTACAAAGGAAATTACAAGGCTAATTTGCACTGACTGGTTTAAACAACAGTCTACCAACCACACTAATCGAGAAAATATTACGACGCATAGAGAGAAATGGAAGGGATGAGGCTAAGATAATGCTTTTTTCACATTCATATTTCAGAATCATGATATCTTGAAATGGATTGTCAGATGTGTTAATGGGCCTTACTATTTCATTTTAACACTAAATACCCTCCCCAAAAAAATGTGTTTCTGGAAACTACACTTTATCGGAGGCTTCCATAAGCCCAAACCCAATAATTGTTAGCTACACAAGAGGCATGGAGCACATTAAAAGCCAGCATGAGAAAGGTGCATTTAGTAGACCAGGGATTTCATCATAAATATTGCTATGAGGAATGAGGTATAACAAAAATTAAAGCAATCAGCTGCGACAAAATACTAATATTTGATAAAAACATACACAGCTTAGAGAGAATGGGGGAAACAATACATACTAGAAGCAATAGAGAGAATATTAATAGCTGTTTCACCAATTCTGTATAAGCCCCGACATGTTATCTGTCACCTTCATGGGATTCAGAATGTCTTTTTCTCATTTTGGATCTTGGCCTATGATGATATTCTTTAGACTATGCCATCTACTCATGTGGTTTAACAATTTGCACTGTCAACCAGTCTATGTACATATATTTTGAAGAGATCTTTGGCTTCTGTTAGTGGAGCCATTTCCAGATGAGAGAATAAAACAAAGGGGAAACTTTCTGATCCAATGTTAAGAAACAAACAACCCCCCCACACACACACAAAAACACCTCCACAAACACACAATCTTCTCTAGAATTAGAACAAAGTAAATATATTTAGACAAGATAAATAGACGCCATGATCATTAACTATAACCTATGTATTTAAGGATGTCAGCCATCATGCAACAGAGACAAACAAGGGCAAAAAATGTCAGGGATGTTACTCAAGCTGCCCACGTTAAAGTATTACTTCTGTAAGAGGTCATCAGTAAATTTTAAAACAGTGCCCGATTACTCTTTTTCTGTGCTCAGTTACTGATGCTATCTGCCAAGATATAGTCAAACTGTGTAAATAAATAAACCAATAAAGCCCTTGGAGAAAAAGTCCTTAATCTACAACACAGTGGTTTTATAACTTGGAAGAAAAAAAAAACTTTGAAATATAAACTTCAGCAAAATAATGCTAGGAATGATGTTCATCCTTCTATCTATGGAGTTGACAAAAGCACAAGAAGTGGGTTCATTAATTTTGCAAAATATTGCTTAGTCAAACTTGATACTATTTTGGAGACTAAGACAGTTATGGTCTCCGTCCTCATGGAGCTTCTGGTCTAGTATACTATTTCTTAATATCTTTCCTTTAATGTCTAGGCAATATGTATATTAGCCAAACAATCATCCATCCTTGCAAACTCTGCCTAGAACGTAAAGAGTAAGAGCATGTATGGTGGAAAATAATGTTGGAAAGGCAGGGAATCTGAAGTTCCAGGCATAACCTCGTCTAAGTGGCAGTCCTCGATTTCTCAATGATTACTATCACAAATATATTTTTTAAAAATTTCTTCCTCCATTAGAACATGTTATAAAAAGAAAAATTACTAGAAAATTTGAAAAAATGCTGAATATAGTTTAATTCATTTAAATTGACTTATTCAACAAACTTTGGTTATGTGCCCCTTAGACCCAAGAAGAAAATCATCATGGCCCAGCTCACTTTTTACAAAGGATGTAGCATACTCATAGGAAATCTTAATGAAAGGCAAAAATTATAAACGTGATTATAAAAGTAAAGTACATTAGGATGGGTCCTTAGATGTTGAAATGGATTGTTTTGACTGGGGAAACTGACCTTGGGCTGAACCTTAATATATAGGTAAGATTTGATGTGAGGAAATGGCAAAGGTATTCTTTGGGAGGGGAAAAAAATAGACACATAGTAAAAAAAAAAAAAAAAGTCCCCATATAGCCAATTAGATAACTTGATTCTTCAGATTTTCCTAAACACTTTTTATGATCCATAAATAAGTAGGAACTCAGGATCCTGAGACACCTGATAGGAACACTGAGACAGAGGCTGGTGTTAGATTGGGGGACCAGATTATGACTTATCTTGATGGAAAATTAATGACTCTAAACTTTTTTAAGCAAGAAGAATCTTGAAACTTTTGACCGTAGTCAGAGCTGGTCCTAAGGAAGATTAATTTAGTAGCCTTTGCCCAGTCAGTTAGAGATAAGGGAAAGACTGGGAGAAAGGTCTGGCAAGAATTAGGCTAGAAGTAATGAAGGTGGTAAGGTTTGCAGTGATCTGAAAATTAAAAAACTTGACAGTGAAATGGATTTAGGGGGCAAGAGAAAAGAGTCCAAATGTCTGCCATATTTCAAAGTTAAGTAACTGGGAGAGTGGTATGACAAAAATTAGTAGGATGCTGGAAAATGTTTAGCGTTCAGAAAATGGGGAGAAAGAAATGAGAGGAAGAATGAGAGGAGAAAGAACAAAGAAAACAAAGCCCTGATTTGTAGTTTTTGCCTTTATCTGTAGTATAAATGTTCCCACCATGGCTGACTTTAGGATTGGGAAAAAAATGCCCACAATGAGTCTTCATAAACTGGTATGAGTCAGGTCTACACAATACTGCCAGACAAGGACACAGAGAAGTAATGGGACACCTGAGAAGGATATTGGGGACCTCAGCTTTGGACATATTGAACTGAAGTGATTGATAGGAATATCTTAAGTGGTAATATTCAGCAAATATAGTTTGGAAATTCAGGATTATAATCTAGTGGAAAACTCAGTTGAAAATAGAGGTTATAAATTATTTTTGCATAGAAGTAATACTCAAGGTACACAGTATAAATCCAAAGAAGATATTGCAGGGAGGAAAAAGATATTATGACAGAATCTTAGAAAGAAAACACCTGTATTTGGTATATTCAATTCATTTTTTGCTGATGTAACAAAATACTCAAGGCATGAGGGCTTCCTATGGAAAAGAGGCTTGCTGAGTTTGAAGCTTGGAGCTTGAAGAGCATGGCACCAACATCTGTTCAGGACCTCCTTGCTGTTCACAATATGGCATCATGGCTAGCACATGAAAGGTAAGTAGCCAGAGATGTTTAGGGATCAGGGATTAGACTTCTCAATTTATAACTTCTCACTCTCTGAGAATGAGCTCTCTCTCACTACCTCTCCAGGGCCATGCCTCCACCCTAATCATTTCCCACCAGGCTCCATTTGTTAAAGTTTCTACCACCTTTCAACATCACCCACAGTGGGTCCCAACATTTGAACCTTTGGGGGACAAATAACATTAAAATCATAACATTTGGGGAGCAAGAGGAGGCAAAAAGAATAATTGTTTAGAGAGGTAGGAGGCAAATCAGATCTTTGTATTCTGGAAACCTAAGAAGAAGGGAAAAACAACACTTTAAGAGATCTTCGTTAAAGTATCAAATAAGGAAATCAAAGAGAGTAAAGTTGAAAGAAAAGTCATTGAGATGAGTCCCTGAACCACTGGGACTCTGGAAGAAGCAGTTCTAGAAGAGTTATGGGCTGGAAGAGAGTTTAAGCAGTGTATATATTCTTATTTTCCCAAAATATTTGGCAGTGAAAAGAATAAGAAAAGGGTAGCATACTTGTGTTTTTTTAAGCTACTATGCTATTATTATTTCAATGGAAATTAAGCTGCAGGATTAGAAGAAAAATACTAGTAGCAAAAATGGATTTATCCCAAAGTCCAATCTTGCAGACCTATTGGGACTGACCTTTGGGCTGCTCATTATTTGCCATGAACTTGCTTAGTCAGACCACTTGGGAGAAGAAGACACTCATGGACAGCTGTGACCAAGTAAACAGAAGCAGTGGGATGAGCCAGCAGGAATCTCATGAAGAGGAAGAATATGAAAAAAGCAGTTGCTTTATGAAAAATATGGAGGCTCAGGGCAGGGCGGGGAGGATGCAATGCCAAGAACAAATATCTGAACAAATAAATTTTTCTAGAATTTGTGTTGTTCAGCCAACTTAATGCTTACTACAACAACACTGTCCTCTGAGCCCACGAGTCTAATTTACCAAGCCATTCTACATGCTAATTTCTTCTTGCCTCAAAGAATTGCTTTCTCCATTTCCACCTGTCCTGATTCTACCCTCAGTGTGAGGCTGAACCCACCTTTCCTGCTTTATGTCTTCACTTTCTTATCAAGTTGCTCAGACTGGCTACTCCTTTTTGCTATTCAACAGATGATGTAGGGCAATAAGTATCTATTGGGTACCTACTATTTTCCCCAAATATTTGTCAGTGAGAAGAATAAGAAAATGGTAGCATACTTGTTTTTTCTTTTCTTTTTTTTTTTTAGCTACTATGCTATTATTATTTCAATTACAAGCCATAAACACATGTTGACACAATTATTTCTAGTCTTCCATTTTATTCTGATTGTACTATGTGTTTATTGGCTGAGTGAAGATCTTGTCTCTTCCTTGTATAAACCTCTCCACCCTACATTAATTCACAATATTGGAGGTTGGCTAAATATACTTGATGCTTTTTCAATTAGATCGAAACTTCAAACATTCTTATTGAAATCCTCCTAGTACTATATGAAAACTATTGTGTAGCTCAAGATAAACTATAGTCTATCTTTATTTTAAAGTATTTTGTTTTTAAAAAGTAAGTTCTACAGAAAAGGAATGGATCTCTAAGAAATTAATTTGAAAACCAAGTGGAAGACAAAGTAATTTCTCACTATCATCAGTTTCAACTATAACAAGGATAAGCCTTTTTGAAGAAATTAATTGACCCTCCTTTTATTCAGCCAGAGGCATCTGTTATCTCAGGAAGGACTTGGATTATTAAAACAGGAATACAAAGAGGAAAAAAGAGTTATTGTTCATGTTTTTTATTTAATCATCAGTGTGTAGTGAGACAAAAATCGAGATTTGTGGTAACTGAAAGGATGTTTCTAAGTTCTAGGAGCTCCTTATGTATACAAATTAAGTCTTGGAGGAATGAAAATAGGCTTCAGTGTAGAGCAGAAAAGAACTAGATGTGAGGAAATCGCAACTTAAACCAAAAGCAAGACAAAGATACAGTCCTGAGAGTGGTTCTGAGAGAATTCAAGGGAGAGGAAGTAAGAATTCAAATTGAATGTCCTGGCTTTTCCCTTAGGAAAATGCAAAAGGTAAAAGGGAAGGAAGTTAGGTTTGAAACACCCAGGTCTGGGAGAAAAAAAAAAAATTATTCTCAGTACTTGATGTTTCAGGCTGCAGCTCAGAAAAATTATAGTCTCTGGAAAAAAGCAAAAAGCAAAAAATTTCAGAGGCCACATTATGCCACTTATGTTATTTTTTTTAGAAATTGTTGGCCTGTATTTAATCAAAAAGAAGGGCTAAGAAGAACCTTCACATGCAGTTCACATCAACCCTGGGGCAACTGAAAGGTCAGGATGACCTATTATGGCAGAGAAAAGGTGGGTATGGAAGAGATCTGTAAGTCAGCTTATGAATCTAGGAGGCTCAAGCAACTGGTTGAACTACCATGCAACAGACCTTCAATGGGACCACCATGGTGAGGCTAAGAGCAGATGAAAGGCAGCTGACCAGAGGTTCTGCAGAGACCATAAGAGCTGAGATAAGGCAGTGAAGGCTGAGCAGGACATTTCCTTGAAATTCACCAGACATATATCAGCAAGGGCATTATGTCCATCCCTCCAACCACACAAAAAGAAAGCAGTACCAGCAAAAATTCAGTAGCACTAGAGCCAGATGCTAGTGACTAGAGAAGACCAGAGTGCTTTTGTCAGATCATAGACCAGCAAAAATAATACAGACAGCATGCAGACCTCCTTCCTCTTTGCAAGGATACAGAATTCTTTCCATGAACCCAGACACTACCTTGAGAAATAGGAAAGAAAGGAGAGAAATATCACTATGAAGCAGCTAGACTATGAATTAATTGGTATTTACCCACAACACTTTGTTTTAAATGCAGAAGTTTGGGATTATTTATCTGAATGCTTAGACTGATAATGGAAAGTAAGTATTAAACTTTTTTTTTTCTTTTTGCACTGGTTGAATTACAGTCCACAGATTTTGATATCCAAACTAACAGGGGAGGAACAAAAATGTTGGAAAATATGATTTGTTGAGATCGTTTTTTAGGTTGCCATGATATCTATCTGTCATTTATAATCTTGCAGTGAAAGGTAGTAAAAAAAAAAATAAATGAAAAGAAAGCAACATTTCCTTTGCATGACACAGTAAAGAGAGAAACTTCCAGGAAACTGAGTACAGTCCAAAGAATTCTCAGCATCTCAAGCATCACTTATAAGCAGAAGAAGTTTATTTTCTAAAAAAAGAAGGTTTAAGTAGTAGATTAAAGTAAATTTTATTGACAAAAAGTAATACGTGTCTAGAGAGTTGTGCTCATTTAAATAAATCTTGCTCTAAAATTGATTATTTTAAGACTATGGAAATGCTAAAATTTATCATTGTATTTATATTACTCTTTTAACAAATGTTTTATCTTACAGGAAAAAATTAATGGGACAAAAACACACCGTATGAAATTCAGAAGTTTCTGACTATACACTCTTTGTTTAATGGACTCATATTCATCAGCCAGAGATGTCACCAACACCTGTTGGTGGTCACCCAGAGGGGAGATGCCATTTCCAGGATGATTCACAAAGTTGTTAGGTGACAACAAATATCATATAGTAAAGACATGATTTTGTAAGTAATTTATGTAGGGTATTCTGGTTATTGTAGATGTTAAAGAATCTTGTCAAATTTGAAGGACTTTTTTAAATTATGAAAATAAAACATTACCTGAAATTACTTCTTTCTGACAGAATTATTTTGATTTATTGAAAACAAAATTTTGGTGCAGGCAGTGAAAAAAATGTATATCTATGTTACATTGTGTCTTCCCAAGCATTTGAAAAAGTCATTCATATTTATTGATATATTGTTTTCCTTAAAAAATGGTACTATTTCATAGTTCTGCAAAAACCTTAGCACCACCAATGTCTTTAATTTCAAGAATAAAAATATTAAAATAACTTTGATAACTATGTCCTCCTCTTTAAAATGTGCTTCCCCCCTAAGAAACATGAAAAATTTTGTAGATTGAGATTCACCCTAAAAATAAATAAATAAATACTTTATCCTGGTTGTGCCACAAGCAACGAGATTTTAGATTGTTATTGATTTTACCCTGTAGGTTTGTAGTGCTCTTATAGGGTTCCAAGACCTCTCCTTTGTGGGGAAAGATAATGTTAACAGATCCCACTATTAACAATATATCACCCATGAACAATTTGTTGTAATTAAGACGTTTGTAGTTTAGTCTCAATGTACAGAAATGTTGGATTCAATTATTATCTAAAATATAATCAGTAGTTTTTTAAAAAAGGTTTACAGTTTCTCATGGTGGACAATAAACTGGAGGTGAGGCATAGGAAGATATGCTGAGGAGGTAGGGTGTGAGGATATAGAGTTAATATTTCTTAGGAAGTATGAAGGAGAAATCTAGTAAAGAGGGTTAGTAGCAAGAGAATAGACAGGAAGTAATTTAGGGTAGGCAATGATAGTAGAGTACAGAAAACAAACACACATATGTATTTAGAAAAATACAGATGTTGAAACATTAAAATTTGGAGGGGAAAAGAAAAATGAAAGAAGGAAAAGAAAAAGAAAAAAGGGGGGGCATATACAACACCTCAATATTATATTATTCAGATGACTCAGTCCTCAAAGTCCTATTTCATGCAAAGTTCTTGGTTTCACATATATTGGGGATGTGAGGGCCGGAGGATAGAGGGGTAGAAGAGAAAAAACAAACAAATAAACAAAAAACTCAAAGGAAGAAAGCAGGGTTGTAGCTAGCTTTAGAGATTCCTACCTTTCCTGCTTCTCTTCTCATCCAATAGGTGGGGTGGTCTGTTGTAAGCTGGTGTCTCTACCCTCCAAATGGTAGAGGTAACCAGGGTGGGAAGATTTGTCCTGGTGCAGGGTGCCTGGATGCAGAGAGTGGCACCTGCCAGTCCCTGCAGAAAGAATGCACCTCATGGGTCTCTGTTTGGGACCGCTTGCTTGTATGAGTGCCCGGTACTATCTCCCTCTCTTGCCTGAAGATTTCCCAGTTCCTGGTCTCTCTGTTAGGCTCCAAACTTTAGCCCTGTTTCCCTCTCCCCTAGCAGTTCCCAATTGAGGAAACTCACCCTGGGTTCCCATAGGCAGCTCCCTGGTCGCACTGCACACCTGTACTGGGCAGCTACTGTGTTGGGTTACCGCCACTGGGGAGGGGGGAAGGTTGGAAATTGGTACCTGGCCTCTGGAGATCTGATCTGGGAATTGCCTTCACCTGATATGATGAGAATGTTGAGCCAAGATGGCGGAGGCCTGCTTTCAGTGCCGGGGAGCCTGGTGAGGTGGGGGGAGCCTGGTGATGTGGGTGGTGAGGTGGGGGGAGCCTGGTGAGGTGGGTGGTGAGGTGGGGGGGAGCCTGGTGAGGTGGGGAGAGCTGGGCAATGGCCTTGTGCTGTGGGTAGGTAGCAGCTGAGTGACTTGCATGGGAGTGGAGTGAAGTCTTGGTGATCTGCAGATGTTTTAATAGGTGATTCTACTAAGGCGCTCCTGACCCTTGCATGGGCTGGAAATTGGGACTTTGGGTCCTGCTTGAATGCCAGGCGTCCTACTGGACCACTGAAGCCTGTGCGGGATCACAGTGCTGGTGATTTCTGTGGAGAGCAGCTATATAGAGGTCCTCAACACTCTCAGAGACGCAGTATTCCAACTCCGTGAGATCTGAATCAGAGCAACACCGAATGCTGCCTCCCTCTGGTCCGCCATCTTGAAGAGCCTTTCAGTTCTTCCAGATTGACTCTGCAGCCGTGGTTTGGGTGGGACGCAAAATTTAAAACTATTGAAGTAAGACCTAAAACATTAAAAGAAAAAAAGATACATAGAGTAACATGGACTTGCAAATATATTCAAGTTTGCTCCTTAGTAATCAAAGGAGAATAAGGAAAAACAAAATTTCAAATTCCTGCCCATTAAATTTGGTGGAAAATTTTCTGGTTGTTTCTTTATGTTAATACTGATACTTGCCACTGAGCAATGAGTTAGGTCTCCCCTCCATGGTTGGAAGAACCATAATTGATGCAATCTTCCTGTAAAGCATTTTGAAAATATGCATGGAATGTCTACAAATATTCATAGGGCTGAAAATAAAGTCTCCATAGCTGAGGATCCATCCTAAATATATAAAGGTAAATCAATGCTCCAGACACAATCATTTTCATTACATATTTACCATAGCAGGAAAATAAAATGTGTGAAGATAGGAAACTGATTAAATCTTCAATACTTTGTTGTTGTTGTTGTTGTTCTTTTTTGCATACTTCAGTTTGAAGGTGGTGCTGTGAGCTCCTGAATTCAGTTTTCCACCAGTCAACATCAAATTTGACTCATGGGCCATTTTATTCTGGCATGAATCCATTTGTTTCTTAATGGAATAATGTACTGTTGATTAAGAAAATGTTTTCAAAGTATATGTGAAATTACAATAAAATGGCCAGTGTGAAGTTTCTTTGTTTGTGTGTGTGTATTTGAGTGGGAGGGGTAAAGAATAGCTCTAAATGTTATTTTAAGGTTAATTCTCAATGGTAAAATCATATGTGACTTTATATTATGTCCTTTTTAAATTTCTCTGAATTTTGCAAATTTTTCACCATTAGTTTTTAAATCAGAAAAAGTAAAAATTATTAAGCCTAATGACAAAAATAGGTCTTAAAAACCTCATCCCTATTATACTGTACAAATAAAATTTATCCCCCAAATTTCTATTTGAATGCAATATTGTATTCGATTTTTTTCATGCAAATTAAAATGAAGTTCAGAAAACTTCAAAAAAACCATGTTCTATGCTAGCCCCCAAATCAAGAGTATTGTAAATAATACTTCTTATTTTATAGAAATATACAGTTCTCAAAGCAGTTAGATATATATGAATCATCTGCTTTTTTTTTTTTTTTTTTGCCCGCTCAAGCTGTTTTTAATATAGAATCAGAGAACCCGAGTTGGAAGGAACCCTGGGAGCCAACCAATTGAAATCCCTCTTAGTGCAAGAGAATTATTATAACTCCCTGAGAAATGTTTCTTTCAAGCATGTTTCTAAAGCTTATAACACCACGAGTCATTTTCATTTTCTGGACAGTTTTGATTGTTATAAAGTATTTCCTACACTGAATGAAAACAGGTCAAAAGAGTCTAGTAGTTATTTATTCCACATTTCTTTATGTGAAAAGACATTGGCTGTCCCTGTCCTGAGCTTCCATTTCTGCCACAAATTAAGGAAGACAGCTCACATTAGGGAGTTGGAAGCTAGAGCTGGGATTCTAGAAGTGTGGTCCACAGATCACCTCCATCAAACCACCTGAGAACCTTTTGTGAAACAGATTTCTAAGATCTCCCTGAACACGACTATCTGGAGGTAGAGTCCAGGAATATCCCTTTCCACGAGCTTTCTAATAGATTCTTAGGTGTTTGTATGGGCAGAAGGCCTTGCCGGAAAGAAATAAGCTATTCTGAGAATGTTGCTTGCTTTTATTTGTAGATCCTGGCTTTGGTCCTCCACTGGCCAGCACCAAACTGGTCATTTCTTGCAGCATTAAGCCTCATGTTAAACTGCTTCATTCAACAACCACTGTGTACCATGCCAGACACTCCATCAAAGGCTGGGGATAAACATATGAAGAACACATGGTCTATGCAGGTGAGAAGCTCATTGCAGAGCACAGCTGCACCTGTGGTCAACCTGGCTGAGAATGGTTGACCATTTCTGGTATCAAAATTTGATGATTTTTCCCCCTTGTTAACTTGCTTTGGTAAGGAAGATCGATTGGAAGGTTCTTATATTAGAATAGACTGAGATTTATTTTTATAATTGGACCCTGATGTTCACAATGGGTTCTTTTTGATTTTGAGAATTAGTCCCTTGAGGAATTTTCCCATATTTGCATGGAGGATTTTCAAAACCTTTCTGCATTTTTTTAAAATTTTTATCTGGTGAATATACATTGTTTTGCTTTGTTTCAATGAGGAAAAAATTAACATCACGTAAAATTAACCCCTTTAAAGTAAACAATTCAGTGACATTCATAACGTTATATGACGAGGACTACTACCTCTATTTAGTTCCCAACATTTTAATAATCAAGAGGAAGTCCCAGACATATTGAGGAGTTAATTCTCATCCTTCCTTCTTTGAATATTTTTGATGGTTCCTCTTTTGGTTAATTTTCACACCTCTCCACTACCTGCCCACTTAAGGCTTCTCAATATGGAGACATTGTTTTTGCTCTTGTCAGCAGTGTTCTGGAAATGTTCTACATCGTGGGCAGCTGATAGCATCTCAATTTTTCCTTCTATCATGAACACTTAACTACCAGACTGTCAGATAGTAGTGAAACTCTTTTGTGATGGTAATACCATAAGTTATTTCAATTATAAAAGCAATGCACATGTTCGGTGAACATTTAAATAACATATAAGTAAACAGTGGAGTTTACCAGAGTGATTACTATTAATAATTTGCCATGTAGCATTGCAAATATTTCTTGATTCAGTTATATGCATATCCCCTCCCCCAAATTGTCATATTAATCATATACTTATATCAATAGAGTTTTATAATTTGTTCATTAATTTTATTTTATTTTATTTAATATTTATTATTTAGTTTTCGGTGGACACAACATCTTTGTATGTGGTGCTGAGGATCGAACCCGGGCCGCACGCATGCCAGGTGAGAGCGCTACCGCTTGAGCCACATCCCCAGCCCTGTTCATTAATTTTATATTTAACTTATTCATTTATCCTTTCAATCAATATTTATCGAGTGCTTATTAGAAGTCAAAAATTCTTCTAGTAAATGCGGATGGAGGGTGAATAAATATCCATATGAGCATCTGTCAGCTCATTACTTGAAATAGGTAGACATCATTCCAT